AAATCGGCTGATGAATTTAGTTCTGTAGCTGAACAGTTTTAGATCTCGACACTTAACAAACTCCTGCCTATCGTGACTCGGCGCAAAAATTTAAAATAAATACTGGTTCCGTACGTCATGCGGACTGCGCTGCTCGGGCGGATGGGCGGGAATGGAGGGTAAAAACCGTTGGGATTATTATTATTATGCTTTTAGGCACAAGCCCTATTCATTTAGAACTTTTTAGCGATGGAAAATTAGCGTCACGATTTCAAGAATCCCACTGCAGAATTATAATATGACTGCTAAAAATATACCTAGTTTTAATTTAGAAATAAAAAAGACAAATTAATTCGAAGTATTTTTGATTAAATGTAAAACAGAAAATATGGGTGAAAATTTCATACTTAAAGGGGTCACCGACACGGTTGTCACATTTAGTCACTTGCGACCAAAACAGATAACTTTTCGAGTGCTTGGTAACTTGGTAATTTTTTTTTTTTTTAACTTTTGGTAAGTTTGCCGTGTATAAAGTCATACTAAAAAAGTTGGATTAAGTTGACAAATTGTACAGTGGTTGTGTGTAGCGGTGACCACACTCCTAGAAACAATTGCGTTGATCAGGCAACACAGCAAAAATAACTAACCACATATCGAACAAAATTATCGCTGGGCAGTCTACTCGTTAATTTATCACAGCGTGGGGCGCCTGTCACACGTTCAATATTTATTGTGATATTTGGATCGTGATCCATATTGATGGATTTCAAAATAGTGATGGATCGCGCGGGCATGCTACATGTTCAATATTTAGCGCGTCAGTATTTACATGTTTTTGTGTTGAGAGGTTTTAAGTCCAGTAGATGAAGCCTGGAAATCTTATCTTAATGTTATTTTATTGAAAATGTTCTATGCTTTTTATTATATGAATGGTGATACCACATCTAATTTGTTCGAAATGCAACGCGAAATGCCGAGCCGTGAATTGATATCACGAAATATGCCACACGTTCAATACTTATTGACAGATCTTTGATCCATGTATAGAGGACATGAAAAAAGGGGGTCTGAACAGCAGTTTGTGCGGTGTATTTGGGCTCTTTAGCGCTTCGGTGTATGCACTTAAGTCGATTTTTTAAATAATTTTTTTGTTCTGAGGCTAAAATCCCGTTCAAAAGACAAGAGCTTACAGCGCGTTTTTATTAAAAGTATATTGTGGCGAATACTGCGACAACGCGAAGCGAGCAACGAGAAAATGGCAACATGTTCGGGGAATGTTCGGGAATGTTCGACAGTGAGAAACGTCAAGTGGATGAATACTGCGAACAGCGAGAATGGGAGAATGAGCGATAAACTTCAGAACGTTCTAGAGTTGCTATGAGTGCGAGCGCAGGTATATAACACCACTGTGGGAGTCAAGTTAGTTGAAAGTCAGCAAGCTACCAGACCAGTCAATCAGTTGCGAATCAGCAAGCTACAAGCAAGTTGTGAAACAGAGATAAATTGTGTTAGCAAGTTTTGTAAAGCGTTGTAATTGCTTTAAGTGTTTTTATTTCAATATCGAGTATTGTAAATTGTTTGTTGTACAATAAAGTTAATTGTACTGCAACTCGGTCATCTTGAGCGTTTATCTAACAATCCAGAGATACGAACCGAAAGGATTTTGGGAAATCCGTCAATTAGTCAAGGATAATCCTAACAATATTTTTAAACGCGTGCATTGCAAAAATATTTATGTGTTGTTTTTTGTTTCACAAATTTTTTGTATATTCTTCTTTATACACATACGTATACAGAGATTGAATAAATATTTGTTTATATACGTATGTAAATGTATCTATGTATGTATCAGAGTAGCTTAACTCACATTTCAAAAAAAGTTGAGGTGTACATTAAAATGCATTACCAGAATCGAAACGGTAATAGCCCGAGGCACGCCCTTTTAGTTTTCTTTTGCTATAATATGTAGCATCACGTAGGTGCAATTAATTTTTTAGTAATAGACCGCATTTATTTTTTATAAATCCTTTTTTATCATATTACCAGGGTTTGAAAATGCTGTAATATTTTTATTTTATTTGCTTTTGCTGTGCTTTGACTTCGGCATGTATGATATCGAAAGCAAAGCAAAAGCAATTCAGAAAAAAACAAATGCTTTGGCTGCCGTTTTGCTATGAAATTTCGAAAGCAATTTGTGGAAGCACAAAGACAGCGCAGCAGCAGCAAATCAACATCAATTTGACTATAAATTTGCTGCGAAACATCCAGTTGGCAGAAACAGAGGATATTATATGTATGCGTGCGCAAATCCACTAGTCGCTTACCCTGATAAGCTTTGCATTGATCGCGGAGTTAATAGTTGCGTTCCCTAACTCGCAAGAAGTTGCAAGAAATTACAGGAATTTACCAGAAAGCGTTCCCGTACTCGGTTCTCTGCCTTATTTTGCCTTTTGATAGTTTTACAGGTTTTAACGCAGAAAAGTTGGGGAACGGAACTAATATGTATATACCATGCTGCAAAAGCGTCATGTGCACAACACAGCCAAGCAGATAACAGCACAGCAAAAGCACTATCACAGCAAATCAAAAGCAATAAAATTGTTTAAATAAACTGCCGATAAAAAAACAGAATAAACTTTTCAAAGTCACAGCAAAAGCAAAGCAGTTCGAATCAAAATCGAAAATTTCAAAGCTAAGCAAAAGCAAAAATAGTAATGCTGTTGCTGCTTTGCTGACAGTTTTTCAAACCCTGACCATGCTGCAAAAGCGTCATGTGCACAACACAGCCAAGCAGATAACAATACAGCAAAAGCACTATCACAGCAAATCAAAAGCAATAAAATTGTTTAAATAAACTGCCGATAAAAAAACAGAATAAACTTTTCAAAGTCACAGCAAAAGCAAAGCAGTTCGAATCAAAATCGAAAATTTCAAAGCTAAGCAAAAGCAAAAATAGTAATGCTGTTGCTGCTTTGCTGACAGTTTTTCAAACCCTGACCATGCTGCAAAAGCGTCATGTGCACAACACAGCCAAGCAGATAACAATACAGCAAAAGCACTATCACAGCAAATCAAAAGCAATAAAATTGTTTAAATAAACTGCCGATAAAAAAACAGAATAAACTTTTCAAAGTCACAGCAAAAGCAAAGCAGTTCGAATCAAAATCGAAAATTTCAAAGCTAAGCAAAAGCAAAAATAGTAATGCTGTTGCTGCTTTGCTGACAGTTTTTCAAACCCTGCATATTACTAAGATTTTTTTTGTAGATAGGCTCCTCTGGCCCTCATGGCCTCATATGTAAAATGAATTTGATTAATTTTCTTTTAATAAAACTATTTATTGTACCCATGTCTTATTTATGGCAAATAAACGAGGTTTGTTTTTACAGTTTACTTTACAGTATAATAAAACGTTGTTTTTTACTAGGTAACTTTTAGGTAACTTTTTTTGTAAATTCTGGTCAGAAAATTGTTTGTCGTGTGGCAACTGTGGTCACCGATCCTAACAAGATTTGATATGGAAAACTCGAGCATGCAGAACCGGCTGTCTTCGGAATAAGAATACACCATCCGCTAAATCAGACCGACTTTACAACTATAGTATATTATAGACAGGCCATTCATCGATAATTATAATTAACTAACACCTTCGCCAACTCGCACCCCTTCAAAACCATCAACGGAGACCAGCGCCACCAGTCGCGTGAAGCTCGTGATACTTTAATACACCTCCATTCTGGATATTGTATAAGGTTCAACTGTTCAGTCCAATTTGAATAAGATAACCCGATGACACTAACCACCTCCTCATATGCACACTCACATCTGCTCATCAAGCATCCCTCTCCCTATGGCCCCAACCCGTCGGATCTGGCCTTTTCTTTATTAGATGAGAATGAGGACACTGACAAAAACAACAGTGAACGATGTTCATTCGGTTCCTTTTATTTTTAAGGTAATTTTCTTCAGTGAAAAATTTTCCAGTATTCAGAAATAAAAGTGTTTAAGTTCCATTTACATTAAAATAAAAATGTAGAAGTTTTAGATTCTGGTATATAAATAAGCTGGGTAAAAGCCCGAATCATTCGATTGTATAAGTACGGTATATTCGCTATTCGAAAAATAAAGACTTCACAAAACCGCTTCAAAATATAAAAAAACGGTTGTTTAGTGGAAGGTGTTGCTCATTTTCTCCATACAAAAAATAATTGCCGAACATACTTTGTATGGAAGAACATGCGTGAAAAAAATTGCCAAAAATCAACGCGATTTTCCAGCAACTTCAAACCTGCACTTTGTTATACTATAAAAGAATGGGCTATAAAACTGCATACATAGAATTTTTCGAAAAAATCTGATTAGAAGTTGCAGATCTGTTTGTGTACGAGTGTATACACAAGAACCGGTTTGTAACTACTGGGAACGAACTACTCATGGCCGGAATCATTTATGCAAAATAAATGTACTTTGCCAAAACCCAAATAATTTCGACAATTTCTTCTTTTTTTATTCAAATCCAAATTCAAATTCTAAAACTGCATATCGTCGCTACCATGTCAAACTATCGAATGTGCAAAAATGCGATACCTTTCGCATGCATTTAGAATGATACGCACGTTCGCAAATCGCCAAATTTCTAGTCTTATTAGAAGCAGAGGATACTGGCTTTAACAAAGTGTCGAATCCCACACTTTTTCCTAATGACAACAACATTTTTTACAGTTTTTTTTTTGCTCTCCTGAAAAATACCCGTTTTCACATTCGATAATTTCACATGGTAGCAACGATATGGTCGTATTCAATGAACCGATGAGGGTTAATCACAACGAAATCGTATTTTTCTAACGGTATTTACGAAAACACGGTGCGATAATTTCTCCACTATATTTTTGGTTTCAAAACCTCAAACTGGTTTTTATATACGTCCTCTACTTTTTTCACATACAAAATCAATTTTATTAACTTTTTTTCTTCATGAAATCCTACGAAAACATTTCATATTTACATAATTAATTATACATACCTCGCGGTATTACGCGAATTTCCAAACGGCCATTTACACAACCTTCACTTGGTATTAACTGGTTACTGGAACTGTCAGTGCCAGCGACAGCTGGAAGACTGTGTACGTTCTGGAAGGACTCTGGTACCGATTGATGATACGATTGATAACGATCATTGGATGAAGGCACTGTAGACCTTTGAACGGTGCTTGCTTCCATTCGCCAAGGTATTACTTTAAAATCAAAGAGCTGGTAAAGATCTTCCCTTTCCAATGATTTTTGGTTTTCCAGTAAAAACAAATTCGGCAAACTAATATGTATCTTTGTTAAAGAGCCAGCAGGGTGCCTTTTTGCTTCATTGATTTTTTTTGTCGTATCATTCTCATCACAGCAGGTATATGCTTCTTTGATAGGTACCGTAGACATATGTCTTATCGCCAAAGGGACTGCGGCCTCCGAATGGTTTTCGCGTACACAAATATTTCTACTTATATCCATACGATAGATCTAGAAGAGAAAACATTCTATCAGAACTGATTGTGAACTTAAGAAAAGCATGAACAACTCAATTAATTCAAGTGCAAAGTATAGTTACAGAAAATAGGCACAACCAAGCAGATAGATTATTTTTCTGCTAAAAGTAAACCATTTTAGAGCCATTTGCTCAATGTCTGATTAAAATAACCTCCGGTCACTAAGGGTCGATTGTTCAATGTCTGATTGACACAAATCGGAGGTAGAAGCTCCGGTTAAATGCAACCAGGAGGTAGTTGTAACCAGACATTGAACAACTGGCTCTAAGTTGTGATTAGCTGGCGTCAGGTTGATTAGATCATTGTGAATATTTTATGAAAGAGTTCAGAATATGTCCGTTGTGAATACACAAAATCTGTGTATCAGTTGAGTTATTAATAATTCTTAACCTGTTTCTGTACTGATAGCCATCAGCAATTATGAATAGATATTTTCGCGAAATGAATAAACCTCTTATATGAAAAATGAAGTGTTGTTCAGGTTTTCTATGATAAGCTACGTTGTCGGAAAAAATTAAAAATCGTGTATTTTTTTGTTAGAAAGATTTGTTATTTTACTAAAATGTTCCTTTGGATCAATATTATTTGATACATTTTTATGCGAAATATTCCTATATATTTCTTGTTCATAAATAATAAGTAAAACATTAATTCCAGTCAATAATTTTATTTTATCCCAGGGAAGTAGGGTAACTTTCTTTGAGCTTAATTGCCTCTTATATTTCGTTCGAATTAAGGCATAACCAGGTAGAAGTGATTGCGACATTTCTCTCTTTTGAACTGCGACTGAAATGCCAACTCTTAGCCCTATACAATTCATAATTTAAATTTTTTAATTTTAACTTTTAATTGTGAGCACAGCGACTGATTTTATATACACAATAAAATAAAAAGGAATTACAAGCGGTATGCTATGTCTGGCAAGAGCCAGGACAACATACTTTATTGTCAAGTGAAGCGACAACGGTGGGCGAATAGCTGCGGTGTTTCGTTGGAAGACTGTCCGCGTGCGTGCGAGAACCATTTTAGTGCCAGTGACTTTATATTTGTTGCCCATCGCATCTGAGTATTTCTAAGCGCTTGAGTTTGTTCCCAGGCACGGTACCTCTACCATGCGATTCCCCATTGCTTCAATTATCCCCAAGTGTCGGCCGTACATGAGGTCTGGGACGAAGTTAGCTGTTGATGCACATACCCAAACTGAACAAGTGTGCCATAAACAAGCACGACCGGATCCACGAGTACACTAACATACTATATAAGCACCCTTTAGGATCTTAAAATAGACTTAGAGCACACTACAAACTAGACTACTGGTGATTGTATTTAAGTAGTCCAAAGTTTGGTCCAAGCACATGTAAAATTCTATTTATATTTAACATTGAATGTCCAAGGCTGCATTACATTGTAACCAATTTTAGATAAAAATAAAATAAATAAAATAAAACTTTTGGCAGATGCGATTCGAACCGGGGTTCAAAAATTTTCTAAGCGGATACACTCTGTGCATGCCAACGACGCACATGAAAATTCTATGACTAAGTGCCTACATATCAGTAAATCGTTAATTGTACCCATTGTCCGCTACTGCGTGACATTGGTTGCGTTCATAAGACGTAGCTGTTTAGCTCATCTGCTACGAAACTGCTGGCAACTGTTGAACCCAACAATTACGTCTTAGAAACGGCTTGATGCTGCCAAATGAACCGCTGATAAATGTAAAGAAATGAAATTGCAACAAATGGAGATAGTTGCGCCGATACTATTTAGAATTCAACGCTGAGCGGCCGCCGTGTTGAAAAAAAAGTTCAATGTTACAATGAATTAAACAGTGTAAAATTATATAGCAAACATCTTAAAAACATATATTTAGAAACGTAGTATTATTATAAAATGTTTTAGTTACTTTATCACGTCAGTAATATAAAATATAATAAATTTGTTTGCAACTGCCACCTAACAAAGCGGCGTTAAATTTAATATAAGCGGCGTAAGTCTTTTCGATCAGCTGTTTAGGCTAAGCCCAACACGTTGAGTTCAGGTATCGTAAAAATTTTCCGCTGGAAAAAATGGCGGAAAGTTGCCAACTGTTGGGCTGAGCGTAACTACTCAACTGTGCGCTTCTAAGACAAACAGCCAACGGTTACCCAACAGCTACGACTTATGAACGCGCCCATTGTAACCTTATGCATTACATACGTTAAATACAAAACTACTACAGTATATTTTGCTTAGCTGCACATCCTTCTTTGCACGAAAAACTTGTGCACGTAACCGAAAAAGGCACTTAAGCGAATTTTCTTTACTAATTCAATGAGGAAGGTATCCGAATCCCTATGAAACCAAATATTGGCGGAGCACTTACCATGTAGAAATTACTGCAAGCGAAATTTTTACCGAATGTTATCTAATTATCTATATAACTACATAAATTGATAGCCATTTTCGTTGTTCTGCGAGATGAGCAAAATAAATAAAAGGTTGTAAAATTAGGTAATTGTAGGGCCAGTGCAGGTAAACGTAATACGTTCATTGATAATTGATACTAGTCGCACTATTTTTGAGGCAGGTATCGCCAATGTTCAGTTATGTTGAATGCATCTATCGGAGCAGTTTCCTTACAAATGTTAAAAATAATGCGCATTTTGGGGTAGGTATCTTAAATGTGCACTTAAGCATAGAGGCAGCAAAGCAAAATATACTGTATACCTACAACTATATTTTTCGAGCAATTGGACCAATCTTTCCTTCAGGGCAAATGCTCCGCGAACACTATGATAAAATTTGGTACATGTATAGCAAAGGGTTAATTTCTTTGTTTACATTTTTTGACATTACAGTCAGCTATGAGAGAGCTGAATATGCTTTGGTTTGAATTTGCCCCATCTAACTTGTGAACTAACTTGTGTCGGCCGCTGTGGTGTAGTGGTAAGCAGTGCGCGCTTTCACTCATCAGCACCTGGGTTCAAGCCCTGGTCAAAGCAACATCGCAAAAATATAGAAAAAGGTTTTTTCTTAACAGCGGTCGTCCCTCGGCAGGCAATGGCAAACCTCCGAGTGTATTTCTGCCATGAAAAACAGCTTCACATAAAAATACAATCGCCGTTCGTAGTCGGCGTAAAACTGTAGGTCCCTCTGCTTTGTGTGACAACATCAAGGCGCACGCCACAAGTCGGAGGAGAAGCTCGGCCAAACACTAACATATGTGTAAGCGCCAATCTATTATTATTATTATTAACTTGTGAAATAAAATAAGAGCTTTCGTAAAACACAATCCTTGACATTGAACATTTGGAATTAATTTTTCATTTTGTGAATATCTGCTTCATGAAATTAAGGCTAGCAATTTAGTTAAGGTGCTCGTAAACGATGAGAGCATGGTGTGAGAATTCTTATGGGTGTTTACACACACATTGATTCTCACTGGTATTTTGTTCTTATAAGAACATTTTTGGTAAAAAAAAATTTCATTGATTCTCATGTCTGTTTACACAAGGAGCTCTCATGGGGTCATATGTGAGAATAAAATATGTAATAATATATGAACTTATGCAAAAATGTAGAATAGACGATTGCAGTAACTAAACAAAACAAAAGAAGAACAAGTAAGGGCAGTGCCGTCTTTGGCTATGTCGAAGGCTTCGTACCTTCCATGAACATCAGAAAATGTTACTTCAACCGATTGCAGAATTTGAAATGAATTGTTTGGGAGCTAAACGAAATTTTTATATTCACTGCATACATAGATAGACCTATATAAAAAATCATATCTGAACAATCAATGGTAGATATGTGCATATATCTTATAAGGCAACGATCTAAATGATAGAAGATATAACTTACACAGCACCGATCTTTGCAATTTTTCCAGTAGACTTTGTATGGTTATTTAGAAAATAGCCCACGAAATTTCTCGGTTTTGGTTGTCCATATTAAGGAGTTTTAAAATTAAACATCGTAAGTACCAAATTTCATGTTCGAAGCTACATAAATGGTGGAGTTATGAAAAAACCTCATATCTGAACAATCTGTTGTATTGGCGCTACAAGTTAAATCGGTCCGATTTTGCCGGTTCCGACAAATGATTAATACATTATAAAAATACACTCGCTTTCCAAATTTCAGCCGGATATCTTGAAATCTGAGGGGTAGATTGCGTTCAAACAGACAGACATGCATGGCTTAATCGGCTCAGCTCGAAGTTCTGACCATTTAAGTGTACATTTTCATGGATCCATCTCTTCTTCTTCTGGTACTTTCAAACATCGGACCAAAGTTATAATACCATATCATATTCATATCCATGAAAGGTATAGAAATGCGAGAATAAGTGGAAATAGAAAAGCTGATTTTGATTTTTTGCGAAATGATGAATGGTCAATGCATAGCCAGATTTATGTCCTTGTTGAAATTATTATCGATTCGCAACAGCATTTTCAATCCTGCCTTAACATCCATCAATTCAGTCAGTTGATATTTAGATATGCAGTGGATAAGACTTTGTATACGAATACGCACTTCACAAGTCTGTTATTAAACGGTGCAGAAAATAAAGGTGGCGCCATTCGCGGACCACCCTCTCTTCGTTGAATTGGCAGCATCCACCTATTCGCAGACGTCATAAAATAATACATTTTCGTAATAGAATTGAAAACTAAATTTTCTAATTGTATCTACTTGCCGAAAGAAATGAACCTTAAGTAGATAAATGTACCTTAAAAGTAAAGATGTATTTGTATGTACACATTTTTGATAGTGGGTGGTCGGAGTCTTTCTTCGGTGCCATATCTACTTCTGGAATCATATGAAGCAATATTTTCTATTAAAAATACCCTAAGAAGGAATTTCTCCGAGCAGTTCAAGCCAAAACTATTTTTTAACTAATGTTTATGCCCTTTTACAAAGAAGGGAGACTATTGGAAAAGTCTCCGACACTAGAAAAGGCGTTGCAATGCCTATAAAATGAGAGAAAAT